GCACAATGTTTTTATATGGGGGGGGGGCAAAGAAAGGTAGACTGGAATAAAGTGGAGGGAAGCAGATAGAGGGACAGACCTTCCTCACCTCGATGGGCCTCCTCATCACTCATGGCTCCGTTTCCAGGGCAACCACAGACGCAGCGGATCCAGCGAACCACTTTCTGTTCAATCCATGCCTTCAGCCTCTTCAGCCGCTGTGATTCCAGCTAGCTGTTAGCCTAGCATGTTAGCAGCGGCTCATCACCGCCATCTTTGATCGACAGGAAGCGCTTTCATCCCCTGATTACCGTGGAAACTGTAAACATTCATCTCCGAAGAAAATCCGTCCAAGCAGGGAGCTGATTGGCCATGAGCGGAAACACGTCATCAGCGCAGCGGAAACGGCTGCACACACACACACACACACGTATATATCTATATCTATATATATAGATATATATGGGTGATTCTTTAACTAGGGACACTTTTATGTACTTTGATCATATTTCAGGAAAAAAAATTAAAAAATGTGACATTTCACACCTTTATACTTATCTTTACAACGAAACTGTTTTAGGACATTTGTTTCAGTAGTCTGTAGTGACTTTTTCACCTTTTTTCAGCCTCATTTATATGTAAATATTACCGTTTCGTGCTTGTTCCACACTCAGACTTTTGATCTTCAATGATAAAAATGAACAGTAAAAAAAAAAAATTTCTAATGTTTTAAGATATTATTGAATAAAATATCAGTAAAATAATCAAACTATAATTTGAGTATTTAATGTCATACAACTGTTTATGTGATTCTATAAAGCAATTGTAGTTTTCCCACACTATTGTCGTAATTTCCACCACAACACTGTAATGTCCCTTTAAGAAGTTTCTACGAAAGATTTCCATAAAGTTTTTAAAAAGAAAGGTTTGTTGTCTTTATGGTCCATTCATTGTAATTTCTACCATACCATTTGTTTTTAAAATAAATTGCTGCAAAATTCTAATCACTCATTAAAACCTTCATAACTTAAGAGATAATGTTCCACTTTAATTAAAAACACAAGTATTTACACCTTGAAATGTATCTTGCGATTCCAATGCTATATCTCAGGTTATGGCAAACATAAGATTTGCGTCTTGTCCTCATCACAATTCATTTACCTAATCTATAATTGTATGTGTTTAACAATAAAGACATAAACAGTTATTATATATGAAATTGTTCTTCCAGTAAAAAAACATTATGCGAATCATAGTATTTTAGAATAAATGACAAATATTTATATGAGATGGAAATTACATTTGTGCCAGCCGAGTTGGGAAATCTGTTAAAAAACACCAATTTGTCTTAAAAAAAAAATCAGTGTTTTCTCTTATAAATATTCAAACTAGACTAGTTATGCTAACTGATTACATTGTGAGAATATATATATATATATATATATATATATATAGCTAGCTAGAAGCAGGAGGTAGGAACAGGAGCTAGGAGGTATGAATTGTTCTTTGATCTGAGGACAGAAGCAGGAAGCAGACATGGTTCCTTTTCATGGTTTATTTAACGGGTGCAATATTCACAACAGAGTTGAGCTGAATGTGGATCAACTTTTCAGGACATGTTGACAAATACAGGAAACTAAACTGGTGTTAATGTGGTTGAATTGAAACGTTTTCCTCGGCCGCAGCGCTATGGAACCTGAGTGCTTCCTAGCCCCGCGGCGTTGGCGTACGCCGCCAGCAGACTGGCCGCCTGCCGGGTTTCCAGCGTCAGCCTGGCCTCCGTCAGCCAGTCCTCCACCACTCTCCTGGCCTCTCCTCGCAGCTGGTTCACCAGTTTAGCCGCTAGCTCCAGGTCACCGTGCTCCAGGCAGTAGCTGGCATAGGACAGTAGCTTGAAGGGATCCAAATCCTCGCTGCGGAGCTGGGTGGGCGGGGCTTCCTGCTGCTTCTCAAACAGCAGCGCAGCTTGGAGGTAGGATAGGAAGTACTGGTACAAGGTGTTGTGGGATTCATCGATGAGAGCGACTCTGCGAGCGAGCGACCGCAGCGCGTTGAAACGAGCACGGAGGGAAGCCTCGCTGTACACGCCGCGCTTCAGCGATTCTTCAGGCAGAGCCGACGCCAGCGCCGAGGCAAAGTCGTTATCCGTGCAGCTGGCACGCACAGCCTCAGCGGCGTCCTCCAGAGGCATACTGGGAGATTCAGCGCCTGCAGTTTTCAAGGCGTAATTGAGAGCTTCCACAGAGAGCCACAGCTGGTGAGCTTTCCGGGCCGCCGCCTCTGCTTCCACGTGGCCTGCAGGCAGAGCGGAGGGAGAAGGAAGCACAAATCAGATCCACACAGAAACAGCATTTCCATTTCCTGTCCTCTATCAGACAGGCTAACATGGCCGCCACATCAGCGGACCTCACGGACTCACACGCTATTCTACATCCTGCTGATGGTGGATCAAACGAACGTTCAACCAACCAATGGCTGCTGCGGAAAGACCAGTAGCTCCGCCTTCTCAGCGCCGCTTAGAGCCACGGCTGAGGAGCGGACCGCAGCTTTGGTTCTGCTGTGATCTGATCAAAGCTAGCTGCCTGTTAGCTCTGTTAGCCTATTGTTTGTGGGGGCGCCCGGGGCGCGGTGGGCTGCCATTGTGCGGCGCCCGGGAAAAAGTGAGCTGCCATAGTGGGGGACCTGGAGAACAGTGGGCTGCCATTGTGCTGCACCCGGGAAAAAGTGGGCTGCCATTGTGTGGCACCCGGGGATCAACGGGCTGCCATTGTGGGGGACCTGAAGAACAGCTGGCTGCCATTGTGGGGCTCCCAGGGAGCAGTGACTATAATACATAAAAGCCCTTTAAAACTGTTTTTGTTGTTGATGGACTTTGATGAGGAACAATTATTAATTCTCATTCATGCTGATGATCAAACAGGAAGCAGCCAGAGGTGACGTCCAGCTGTTCCTCTGAACCGATTGGAGACACGGAGCAGAACAAAGGAGGCGTGTCCCACTCTGAGGTCCGCTGTAGGTCTGGTCTTTGCTGCCTGCTCCTCCTTCAACAGTCAGTCAGACTCTTACTGTCTATGGCCTCCTCCACGCCCTTCAGCCTGGCGTAGGCGGCGTTCATGTCCAGGGTGAAGTTATCCAGCTGTTCCTGACTCAGCTGCCGGTACCGCGTCTCCTGCTCCAGCATCTTGCTGCTGAGGACCTGGAAGGAAGCAGCAGTTAGAACGCAGGCCGAGTCGTCCGACACATGACAGAGACACGTAGCTGTTAACACTGAAACTCCAAAGGCCGTCATGTTGATGGTTCTGAGATTTTAAAGTAAAATAACTTTATTTAGATTCATTTCTTGTTGCTCATGTTAACTGACTTTTCCCGTTTCTAGATTTCCTTTATTTTCACCTTGTTCTTAAATAAAATAAAACCCGTTAATTTTACTTCGATCTCCCACAGCCGTCATTTTGACGGCTCTATTAGTTGTATTGTATTTATTGACTGTAACGTTGCCTAGCAACCAACCTCTGGGAAGAGGCTTCCCAGCATTCAATGCAGGACCAGCAGGTTCTGCAACAGCTTCTTCCCCACCGCCATCACACTGATGAACTGCTGAATGTGAATTTTTTTTAAAGTGGTGTAAATGTTCCTGACGACTCGATCAATTTTCGTAAATAAAATTTAAAACTTTGAACCCGTTTAGTAAAACAGTGTTTTTTATCTGACTGATTTATTTTAATACAAATTTAGACTTTAAAATGTAGATATTAGACCTGATTTAAGGTCTACTTATCCACAAGGGGTTTATATGGCCCACTAGAACCATTTCAGTCCATGACATCATCACCACTCTTGCATTTCATTGGGTAAAATGTCACCCTTCAAACTGACGGACGGTTGGAGTTCCACTCCCACTGAAGGAGCCAGACGGGGCCCAGCTCTGGGCTGAGGCAATCAGTGAGGACAGACAGACAGACGGAGTCTGAGAAGGAGAACCTGTTCAGCTTCCGCTCTGAGCTCCTGCTCCTGGACTTTGAGGACGTCTCGGACATGGTCGGTGTGGGCGGCGGCCTGACGGCGGAGCTGCGTCCTCATCTCTGCCTCGATCACTTCCCTCAACTCTGCGAGCTGCGAGCACAGGAGGAAGACAGAAGGGATGAGGAGATGCGGCGGCGCTGAGAAGCAGTCTGCCCTGCGTCTCCATCTGCACCTTCCTCTCCTGCTCCAGCCGCGCCTCCTCCTTCACGTGCTGCAGGGCGCTGCTCACGGCGTTCTCCAGGGATCTCTGGTCCTCTAGTTTCTGCTGCTCCAGCGCCGCCTGGATGTGGACCTTCTCTCGGACCCTCTGCTCCGCCAGCTCTCGGTTCAGCTGGTCGATGCGGCGATGAGCGTGAGCGATCAGAGCGTTCAGGTCGTCCGTGGACAGTTTGCCAGCTGCCAAACAGAGAGAAGGTGGGAGTTGGTCTGAGTGGCTCCAGCTCCTCCTGGAGGTCAGGTTCTGATTCTGCTTACCGAGTCCTTTCCAGTTAGCCTGGATCTCTGGAGTCAGGCTGCTCACCTCCCTCTGGAACTGCTGCTTGGCCTCACGGACCAGTTCGCTGTACTGGGCCACGATCTTTGCCTCCGACTCTGCAGACTGAACCTGCAGGAACAGGAGGGACCTTAAAGTTACTAAGTTTAATCCAGATCCAGATTTTTCTTCTTTTTTTTTAACGGCACTAGTGGCTAATTTTTTGGACAGTAGGCTCCTTAGATCTACTTTAGTCTCTTGTGTTCAGCGGAGGAGGGAACTGTTCAGATGCCTGGAAGAATGACACTTTTTGAGCTTTTTAAAATGAATCTGATACTTAACTCCTCCCATCAGCCGGTCTGTCTCACTTTAAGCTGAATGCTGCCGCTGCTTTCATTTGAAATGCTGAATCTACTGATCAGATTACAGTAAATGACATGTGTTGTGAATTTGGCGCTATATAAATAAACTGAAACTGAAAAAAAAAGTAAATGAATAAACAGTGAGGTGTGGATCAGCTGACGGATGCAGCATCAGTCAGCAAGCAGAAAATCACCACAGATTAGAGGAAATATCAAATGTCTAATGCTCAGATTAAACTAGATTATTTTAATTCTATGGTTCTATGTTCCGACTCTGCTCAGATTAAACTAGATTATTTTAATTCTATGGTTCTATGTTCCGACTCTGCTCAGATTAAACTAGATTATTTTAATTCTATGGTGTTATGTTCCGTTTCTTTGTGTTGAATTCTGGTCATTCTGTGAATGTGAGTCAATTAATAGTTGAACAGTGAAGATCCTGCAGACGTTCAGTTAGATTATAATCTGGCTGATCTATATGGATATTTTAAAGCCTCTTATATCAGCCTTCTCAATCCCCTCCGTGTGGGAGGTCCAGTTAGGGATCAGAGCCTTCCAGGACAGCGGCTCTGATCCAGTCAGAGGTCTGGTCAGAACCGGCGTTACCTTGGAGACCACTTTGTCCAGGTCCACCATCATTCTATGCAGGTTCTCCTCTGCTGCCAGAACCAGGGGCCGCGCAGCCGGGACCTTCAGTCCTTTGGACGAGTCGATCACACCTTTCAGAGCGTCCAGAGCTTCACTGGGTCCAAATAAAGACAGTTTACTGTTAATCAATCTTGTTTGCAAAACAGCAAGACGAGTCCGACTCGGCTGAGTTAAAGGGGCCCAGTCAGAACCACCCATCCAACCCGGACCAGAGCTGCATCCCAGCAGCGCTGATCTGGGAGGAGGACGCAGTGGAACCAGTGGAAGGCAGCCCTAAGGAGGCGACGGGGCGCCATGGTTTAACCAGAGAGTCTGCCTGGGCCCCTTTAAAAGCCTGAACAGGGATGGATCGCCTAACTTGGCTTTGAGAAGAGCAGCTTTGGCGTCGCTCATCGAAGTGGTTCTGTCAGCGAGAGCAGCTTCTAGATCTTTCCACTGGGTCGACTTCTCCTCAGATGGAGCCTGGATTTAACAAAATATCAAATTCAACATAAGGAAACAGGATCCAGATGAAAACGATGCAGAGCCTTCTGCTCATTCTGACTTTAGTTATCACAGTTTTTGGTTTTAAACAAAAAAATGTGAAAATGGTTCCTGCCATTTGTTCAATGCTGGAACAGAGCAGTTCCTCAGCCAGCAGAGCTCCAGTTTCCCTCCATTTCATTTTTAGAGTGAAGGTGTACCAACCTCTGCCTCCATTGCCTCCTTCAGCTTGTCAGTGTGCAGAGTGATGGCCTGCAGAGCTGCTTCCTGCGCGCCGATGGCCTGCAGAGTAGCCTGAGCAGTGCTAGCCAGAGAGTCTTCCAGACTAGCTGATACAGCTGCAGGACAGAAGGACACATCATGGTAACCAATCCATTAGACACAGAAATGTTGCCGTGTTTCTAATGGACAGAAATGGGGCTGACCCTTTAAATTCGTCCGTGTTTCTAATGGACAGAAATGAGGCTGACCCTTTAAATTC